CAAAACTACTTACATATATTTAATTATTTATAAATTTCTAGTTTATAATTAGTAATCAAAACTACTTACATATATTTATTTATTAATAAATTTCTAGTTTAAATTCATTCTTGACTTTCAGTATTTATTCCTTGACTTTTATCCCAACTGTGGGTATATTAACAAGAAATCTAACAAACGCGTAGGTGTACTAAAGGTGGACCGACTAGATTTTAAGTTTTTTTCATTCCTTTTTGTGAATTTTAATGGTAATAAATAAATTCAAAAAGTATAAGTTGTTTTTTCCTTTATTTTAAGTAAAATGTAGGGTGCCTAATACTTTTGGCCAAGGCTATATTTTTAAACATATGAATGGTTTCTTTTATGTATATATTTAATGTCATAGGGATACCCCTACATTTATGTATTTTTATTGATTAATTTTGTATAAATTACAGGTAATGAAGTATTAAAAAAATGGAGAGGGATCAACGATACCTTTAAAAAGTACGTAAAGAAACTTAAAGACGAAAAGCGATCTGGAACAGGAGCAAAATCTACCAAAGAATACCATCTGTACAAGCAGTTATTATTTCTTAAAAAAAAAACAAAATGAGACAACAGATAGCATTAATGAAACGGAAATGCAAGCACCACCTGGGCAAGAGAATCAAGCAAGATCCGAAAAATCTCCAAGACGATACCAACAGAAGCCGCGAAAAAGAAAGGCAAACGTGTTTCAAGATGAAATGTTAACATTTTAAAGGAACCGGAAAACAGGCACTTGTCTTTTTTTAAGGGAATTCTACCGTCTCTGGAAAAATTGGATGAGAACAAAACACTTATTTTTCAAAGCCGTGCTCTCCAAACTTTAACAGACTTACTTCAACCTGCATATCAAGGCTATCCACCTTATAGTTCCTCCTATCAGCCTAGCAACTATCAGAGCTACACAGGCTATCAAACTTAACATTTTGCAAATCAAACACCACTGACACGCCCACATTTATCACAAGAACAATCATCAAATGCAGACCAAACACCAATTCCACATTTATCACACGAACAATCATGAAACGCTGGAGAAGATCAAATTAATTCACCTTGTGATAATTATTCTACCTATAGCGCTTTGTCGACGGAAGAAGAGTTTGATTTTACATAATATTAATTACTATTAACTGCTGATAGTCACACATTTGATTTTTCGCAAAAAAAAAAACAATTAAAATGTCAATAAACAAATTTTGTTTTACTTTACCTGATAGTCAGTCTTAGCATTTCCAAAGGCATAACAGGAATTCTTCCCTTGTACGATCGTTTTTGAAGGCATGGTGATAATAAACTCAAAAGCTCTTAAAATGAAGATTTGCTCATTCTAAAATAATCAAAAAAATTATCTTCTTCTGTTCTCAACGCATAGTACTTTTGAGTAAAATAGTTCCCATCAGTTCTTTTTCTTTTATATCTATTTAACAAAAGCAATGCAATAACCTTTTTGCGATCCATCTTACGCTTCCTAAAAACACGTCCAGTACGGCTGACTACACTTGAAGGAATGGTCGCCCTACCAAACGGTTTGCCGCACAAAATAGTATCGCAGAAATTCGCATCGCAGTTTTGTGTGGGAGCCCTAAGACATAAATGGGCTAGTCCAATAGTTCTAGGGCAAAGAAATGATAAAAAGATCCGTGTGTGTGTTGATTATAAAGTTACACTGAACCAAGTACTAGATACTGATCACTATCCATTGCCAATACCAGAAGACATTTTTTCAGAGTTAACGGGAGGTAGTGCATTTTGTGTTTTAGATTTAACTGGTGCGTACCAACAATTGTTATTAGATGAAACATCAGGTGAATATATGACAATTAATACGCATTTAGGATTGTACCGACCAACTAGGTTACAATTTGAAGTTTCTAGCGGACCCATATTATGCAAAGTACGGCAGGACCTCCTGTAATTGAAAATTGTTCTTGGTATCCAGGCTAATATTGTCGTTCTAAAGCATTTATATGTTGAATTAATTGAGTATGAGAAATTAAAGTAAACTGTCTCAGGACCATTTAGAAACGTTTTTTAGCGCCGTGAGGTCTAGAGGCGGTTTCAACAATAACCCCACGGCAAAACAATTTACTGCGGCATACAAACGCTTCGTCTGTCACGTAGAAATACAGATCAGTGAAAATGCAAATTGTTTGCCATTGGAAAATATCACATTGCTCAACGCACAAACGCAACGCACAGTCGATACACTGAATATTAGAACTGGCATTAGCGTGATGACAAGATCCAACTCAGACTTGTTGGCTAAAACATTAACATTTGAAGTTGAAGGAATGCCATGGATACCGGAGGGCATGGAATCAATAGTAAAACCGATTGTAGAGTACATATGTCGTTATATAGTAAAAAAAACTCGAAAAAAATTACTTGTAAACCTTGCCTGACCGCAGTTCACGGTGAAATTCAAGAATCTTCTTTTTTTATACATATATGAAAGATTTAGGTGGGCTGAATTATCCATCTCAAGATGTAATAGAATAGGCTTAAAAAGTGAACGAGTTTTCCGAACATATATAAAAGACAAATATGTCAATACAGTAATTTTCCAAAAAAATGTTGCTAAATGTCTTATTCTATGTCGGGAGTGTTTCAGGAATCTTGATAGCCATATGTATGATTCGCCAAACCTCGTAAATCATAAATATATATTAATTAAACTGATTATAGAAATATATGTGTCTATTAGAATGAAATATGAGGCAAAGTTGTGTAATGCAACCAAAGAAAGTTTGAGACATTTCTATAATAAATTAATATTGTTCGGAGGAAAATGAATTCCTATACATGCTTACAGTGCTGTTTTAGATTAAATATTGTTTGCGGTTAAATATTCATGTTTGTAAAACAAAGAGCAATAGGTGTTGCGTAATATTATTATCACTTAATTAACACATTAAACATTTAAACAGTCCATTGTTTTTGTGTATATACTAAAAATTATATCAATAAAGATTTGTCTTTTTAATTTTGTAGTTTTCTTGTACTTATTCGCACTAAATACGTAACTCTGAATCCCTGTGGATTTATCACTGGATTTATCACGACTGTCATTTGCAGCAAATGACAAGTCCGGTTATGTTTCGTTACCGGAAGTAAACCCAGGAATTGTCAAGTAATTTATCATTTTCAAAAATGAGTAGAATTTCTGGGTTTACTTCCAGCATTTACTGCCAATCACAGTGTTGCAGAGCTCTGATTCATGCAGAGGTTTAATTCATGTTAGTTTTTAATTAAAGTTACAATACATATTGTAACGGTGCATTTCGCACCATTACAGAAAAGTTAATTATCGACGTGTTTTTATTTAGACAGTTGAAGTTTCTGACGTTTCAGTAAGGCTCGGAGAGATGGCGTCACAGTCGAGATTTTTTTAGTCTATTTTAATCGACTGTGTTATTGATTCGGTCCATGGAATTATTTAATCTGTGGAACTATTCATTCGACTGAGTTTTTTTGCACTCTTTGCTCTGACAACATTTTTTGTCACTCTTTCATTCGGCTGGACGAAGTGAGCAGGGAGACATGTTTGTGATTTTTGAAAGATTGAAATGAAATCCGTTTCCATTTGTTATAATCAGAGGATTAATTCACCTTTTATTGTTGGCCAGTCTTGTTAAGGAAACGAGATTTTTTTATTGGAAATGTTATTTTACATTTTTTGGAATTATTAGTAATGCCTCTCATTTATTTGTGAGACGTTTTGGAACACTGATGGCAATTTCATTGCGTTACAACTAGTTTTTACCTCACTACCTGCCTGATCCAGTGATTTAGTGTTTGCTTCGGAGAGTGGATTTCCATTCCTAAGTACCTCTAATGGCAGGACAAGTCCTCTGAATGTAGCCCATTATTAGGATTCACTTGGGACAGGAACCAGGAAGATTGGATTACTTACCCCGCCACTACAACCACGTTGGGAACAGGAGTGAGCGCTTTAAAGAGTTAGTTTTACCATAGTTCCAAACAGACTGTGCCGGAGTATGGTAAAACTAATTATTGGTATGTTGTTCTTTCGGCGTTGTCATAACGGAAACTGTGGGCTCTAAGGGGCGTTATGATAACTACCTTTAGTTTCTTTATGTATTGAACAGTCTGTGGGAGACTTTTAAAGATATTTTACTTTTAATTAGTATTATCAAAGTTAACAGATTGCATTAAGGGGGGAGCCTGCTTTAGAGGCTTCAAAAAATCGTTTTTTTTTTGCATAAATGTCTTCCCAAACTATCCAAGAATGTGTCCCTAAAATTTCAAAAGCAAATTCAAATTATTTTCGGAGTTACAGAAGAAATAGTGAGCAAGCGTCGAGCAGGTATACGTGCGGCCGGATCGCTGGAAGTCCCCGCGCTCCGTCCCTCGATCTATTGTATGTATTGTACCCATTGTAACCATTCTAACTGACTATTCATAGAAGGCCATTGTGGAGCTATGGTAGGGATAAAAGTATGTATTAAACTATATATATATTAGCTGGCTGCGTTGGCTTGAGCAAAGCTATATTTAGCATTTAAGTTCAGTTTTGATTTGTTTTTCGGCACGTGAACATCTCGAAATCATGCAGAGCTATCCAAAAGTGACAAAATCTTCAAGTGAACGGACAGGAAAGCCACGGAAGCGCAAATTCCACGGCAATCAGTTTCTTAATGTTTCGTCATCGGAAGATGGAGAAGCTAATACTAGCCGTAGTGAAAAAAAAATTGGCGTCAGCAACTACGGACGATGTTATAATTTATCCGTCTTATTGCTATCGGATAATCGAGTTTGTCTCTGTGTTTTTATCAATTTCTGAGTTAGTTATTTGCAATTCGTGTAAGCAGAGAATAACGTTTGCCGAAAGCGGCTATCGAGGTCTAGGATTCAAAATCGTTTTGTCGTGTAAATGCGGTAAACGAGAAATTCAATCCGGACCGCTCATTCACACCGGCTACGATATCAACAGAAGAATTATGTTCGTCATGAGGCTTTTGGGTGTCGCACGAGAAGGCATTAACATTTTTTGTGGCCTTATGGATATATCTCAGGGCTTAGCAAAATCGACGTATGACCAAATTGTGCAACACCTGTATACAGCGTCGAAAACAATGTTTGAGAGCGTCTGCAAAAAAGCCGTCGAAGAGGAAAAAGAACTCAACATACAAAATGAAAGACCAGCTGACCGTTCAAAGTTTCGGGCGATGGATCGTGGAAGAAACGTGGATATACTTCATTGTACGGTGTAACTACACTTATTGGGTACTACAGTGGCAAAGTGATCGATCTCAACGTTAAAAGCGGATATTGTCATACCTGTACCATCGAGAAAAATACATTGAACGACGACGAGTTTGAAGATTGGTATGAAAGCCATAAAGAAAATTGTGTTTCGAATCACGCAGGTTCGGCCGGGAAAATGGAAGTTGATTCGATGGAAATGTTCTCAAGGTCCATCGAGAAATTTGGAGTAATGTATAGTAATTACATTGGCGACGGCGACACCAAAACATTTCTTGGCATCCTGAACAGTGATCCATACGGCGACGAGTGCACAGTGACCAAAAACGAGTACGTGGGACATGTACAAAAGCGCCTGGGTACTCGTCTCCGTAACAAGAGAAAAGAACAGAAGCTCGGTGGAAAGAAGCGGCTCACCGAGGCTTTGATAAAAAAATTAACAATTTATTACGGTCTGGCGATTCGAAGAAACTTGAATTCTGTAGAAGATATGAGAAATGCAATAATGGCGACACTTGATCATTATTGCTCTACAGATAAATTACCTCGCCACGATAAATGCCCGGAAGGCGTTGAAAGCTGGTGTGAGTGGCGCAAAGCTGAAGCGTCAAACACCCTGACTGCTTTTAAACATCCACCACGTGTAATTGACGAACATGTCGAGAAGCACATTCGTCCTGTGTACGAGGAATTATCTAAGAACGATCTGCTAACGAGATGTTTAGGTGGACACACACAAAATGCGAACGAGTCGTTCAATTCCACTGTGTGGCGCATCGTACCTAAACATCTTAACTCAGGCTTTAAAATCGTCGAGATTGCTGCTTACATCGCTGGAGGAATTTTCAATGAAGGCTACAGTGCAGCATTGAAAACCATGCAATTGCTAGATTTAAAAATTGGACAGCAATGCAACAAATTCGCCAAGGGAGCCGACAAGGAGCGCGTCACCCGACAAAACAGGCGCGATTCATTTGAAAGTAAAGAGGCCAGAACGGCCCGCAGACTCAAACATCAGGGCGAAAACCAGTTTTTTGAAGAGTCTGAAGGGCAACTGTATGGACCAGGAATCGCTGATTAGCATATTATTGCGGCAAGTTCAAGAAAATTACGATTTTTTATATACGAAAACTTTGACGCGCGATTTCTCGGTTTTTAATTTTTACGATTTTTCCTAATTGGCGGGAAAGATAGGAAAAAAACGAAACGTCCTATCCGAAACGAGACAAAATTGATTGTAATCGGGATTAAATTCTCTTCTAGTTGAACCTAAAAAACCTTAAAAAAGTTATGATTGACCCACTTTTTAAACAATCTAAAGTGATAATTTTTTTCCAAAAAAATGTTTGTTTTTTAATTTGCTAAAAATTGTTGAATTTCTCACTTTTTGTTGAATTTTCTTGGTTTAACTAGAAGCTATACTATTGAAAATGAATTTTTTTTTGGGTTTTTTTGTTTCAGATGAAAATTGCGACCTGCATTTTTCCCGCCGCACGACACATGCACACTCGAGGCGCCTGGGCGAAATGCTTGTACCAGGCATAATATGACATGTATGTTAATGAAAAAGAGAGAACTGTTGAAATACATAACAATAAAACCCGAAAGTTTCGTTTCAATCGATTATTTTTTCCCTTCCCAAAAAAATCCTAGAAAAAAATCGATTTTTTGAAGCCTCTAAAGCAGGCTCCCCCCTTAATGACAGTACTAATTTGAGAATAAGAATTACATTTGTAATTAGACCTATAATATTCCATGTACTCTACAGACACTACGGGATAAATAAACTGCCTCTTAATCTTATAACATCTCTTTATTTAATAGCTGCCCCACCCTAGATTAAAAGTCCAAGTGCTGACCGAGCTATCTCAGGTATTTATTGTATTTGTTATTAGTTGTCTATGTTCATTTAAGCCAGCACCTGGCGCCCGAGATTATTGGTTTTATTAGAATTTGTGGTGCCGAACCAGTTAGTTTTTTCATTTGTATGCAACATAGACATTGCACTAGTTTAAAACATATTTTTTAATTTTTTAATATTACAATATTTATGATTTTTATTCTTACTGGTTCTGGTAAGGTATATCCCAACATACATTCACATGAATACCTATTTCTTTACCCACTTGGCAATGTATGTAGTAGCATAAATGATTTTTCAGGAAAACTAAAACCCTAGATTTTTTTACTATTTTTCTGGGCATATTTAGGCTCTACACATTCCTATTTCAGTATTTGTTTCAATTTAAAATGTTTTTTTTTTAAATACTTTTTAAAAATTCATTTTGTATCTTGCATTTAAATATTTTTTATTTGGTATCTTAGTATTTTATAAATACTTTTTCTGATAAAATACTTTTAGTAATATGTTAGTAGACATTTATAAAATAAATGCGTAAAACTGAACGTGTCATTATTAGTCCAACATTGCAATGAATGATTGAATTTGAATTGTGAATTTGAAGATCATTTTTTGTATGTTGTCAACAAATAGCTTTTGTAAGATTCGAAATCGTGAAGATGGAAACGTAAGTTTTATTTTATTTAAGATGTCTAAAAGAATTTTATATTCTGTTTTTTGCTCCGCGGGTTTAGCGACAACGGCAATCTAGACAAAAATATGTATGTAACTCGCAATTTAGGTTATCTAACCTAAATTGCGAGTTACATATTATTATCTTAATAAGAATTCAACATACCATCAAGGGTCTTAGGTCAGAAAATCTTAAATACTGCATTTCTCTCCTTGATGTCATTGAAGATAACCTAAATAGACGTTTCAAAAAGTTTTTGCAGGTGGAACCTGCAGCAAATGATGCAATTTTAGCCTCAGTATCACATCCATTCTTTAAAATGAAATGGGTACCAAAAGAGTTAAGGGAATATGTAATAATCGAGAAATCAGAAAACTATGTTTTAAATACCGTGACGTTTTCCATTGTGAAGACATACCTTTAACCTTCACACATGAAATAAAACACCGTTTAAGACTAACAGACAATAAACCAATTTATGTAAAAAGAAATAGACAGGCCCCTAAACAAAAAGAAGTATTAAAAAAGCAAATAAATAAGTTACTCGAACAAATAATAATCAGAGAAAGTAGTTCCCCGTGGTTATGCCCAGTACACATCGTTCCAAAGAAATTAGATGCAACAGGAGAACAAAAATACAGATTAGTAATAGACTACAGAAAACTGAACGACAAAACAATAGAGGATAAGTATCCCCTTCCTAACATAGACGACATTTTAGATAAACTAGGACGCGCACAATACTTTTCGACGATAGACTTAGCATCAGGTTATTATCAAGTAGAAATGCATAAAAACGATATTGAGGAAACAGCATTCAGTATCGATCGTGGACACTACGAATTCTTAAGAATGCCTTTTGGTCTTAAAAATGCCCCCAGTACATTCCAAAGACTAATGGACGCAGTACTACGTGGCCTAGATAATAATAAAAAAATATAATAATAAATAAACTTTATTCTGCAAGAGAACAGCATACAACTTAATATAACTAACTTAATACTAACCTTATACAACTACAATAATATTACATTTTTTTAAAGTGCAACACTATACTACGCTATCTGTGGTTTAGTAGTCTATGAGACTGTGATCATATATGACGTGGCGCTGACGCGGTGATCACTATTATTTTTGGTACTATGTTTTGCCACATAGATAGCTAGATAGATAGATAGTTAGATAATGTATTAACATACCTAGATGACGTCATAATCTATTCAACATCCTTGCAAGAACACGTAGACAAATGCAGACAGGTATTCGAGAGATTCAGAGAACATAACCTCAAAATTCAATTAAACAAATCAGAATTTTTACAGAAACAAGTGAGATTTTTAGGTCATGCGTTGACAGACAAAGGATTACAACCAAATTCCGGCAAAATTAAAGCTGTCAAGAATTTTCCTATACCCAAAACACAAATAGAAATAAAATCATTCTTGGGACTAGTAGGTTATTACAGAAAATTTATACAAGATTTCGCAGTAAAATACAACTAAATCAAGAATACACACAGGCATTCGAAAAATGTAAGGAAGTACTAATTAATGCACCGATTCTTCAATACAAAGATTTTGAAAAACCCTTCATTCTCACGACGGACGCATCAGACGTAGCTATAGGCGCAGCAGGCGCTCTCTCAAGGACGAATAGGTACAGATAAACCAATTGCATACGCTTCACGTACACTGTCAGACACAGAACAAAAATACTCTACAATAGAGAAAGAATTATTAACCATTGTATGGGCTATTACATACTTCCGCCCATACCTTTACAGTAAACGCTTCACAATATACACAGATCACAGACCATTTACATGGATCATGTCAATAAAAAACCCAAATTCTAAACTCACACGTTGGCGCTTACGATTAGCAGAATACAATTATGTCGACCACAATGAATGCATTAGCAACCCTAACACGAATGAACATCAACCTAGCACCTCGACCATGGAACAGGAGCTAGAGAATATCGATTTCCGCACATTGTAACGGTGCATTTCGCACCATTACAGTAATTTGAACCTTAGTCTTGTTTTTGTTTTGTTAGGTTGAATTTTATGCCGTTTCTGCGAGTGCCGATGGTCGAGGGGTGGACGAGAGTAATAATCGATGTTGTTCGCCCGCGATAGTTAGTCGATTTAGTTTTTCTTGTCCTGGCAACATTTTTTTCTCACGTTCGAGGGAGTGACAAGCTTTTGCTCTGGCAACACGTTAGCGTCACATTTGGAATTTCAGCCCGAGTGAGATGAGGCAGAGCGAGTCATTGTAATTTATTTTATTAGTAATCCCTATTTATTTGATATGGACGAGGGCCTATTTCCTCTTTAAATGTTTGGCCAACCTAGTTAAAGACTCGAGCTACTGGTTCGAGTGGATATTTTTATTAAAAAGGTAAGTTTTGTTCGGCCACGTGCTTCACGCTTGGCTTGGCAGAATTAGTGGTTCTAACTCTTTGTTTAATTGGTTACAGGAAATGGTTATAATGCCGCTGCTTAGTTTGTGAAACATTTTGAGACCCTGGTGAGTAATCTATGGTATCTTGCCAGAATTAGGATTCATCTTATGAGATAGGCGATTAACCTATAATTTTTTCTTATTTACAGATGAATCAGGGTTTTTTTTTTAGTTTATATCTAAAGTTCTAATTTCTCTTTTATACCTGAATTTCTTTACATTCAAATTATACTTGACTTTCTTATTGGAATGTCATTGCGTGGCATTCGGATTTTTGTCTCTCGCCGGCCTGACCCCAGGAAATTCTTTCTTCTTCTTTTCTTTTCTTCTTACTGGAGCCTGGGAGTGCTAACCCGCCTCTTCCACCACGTGGGAACCGAAGTGAGAAGTTTTCGGAGTTGGTTTGATTTCATTTCATTCGGACTGAACCAAGGTCATTGGTATGTGTTTTGTTATATTTTTCTTGGCGACGTGGCATTGGATACTGCAGGTCCCCAAGGGGTGTTATTTTTTTATTAGAGAGTAGGTCAATGCTACGTCTACCCTTAGAGTTTATTGTTTTGTCTATTAAGTCTTTATGCGACTTGGTTTAAAAAACCTATACAGGTCCCCAAGGGGGTTAATTTTAATTAAGGGAGTAGGGCGTTGCTACAACTACCCTTAGACTCTTTTCTTATTGGGTCTTCATGTGACTCTTAAAACTAATTTAACCTTATATTTTTATTGGAAAGGATTGCATTAATGACAGTACTAATTTGTGTATAAGAATTACCTAATGTAATTAGAGACATAAGACACTTTGTACTCGACAGACACTACGGGATAATAAACTGCCACTAGAACTTAACATCTTGTATTCATTAGCTGCTCCCCGACCTAGATTAAAAAAGTTCCAGTGCTGGCCGAGTTGTCCGAGGTATTTGTTGTGTTTGTGGTGGGTTCTGTGTTCTTTTAAGGTGGTATCTGGCGCCCGAGACTTTTATTTTGTTATTTTGTTACTATTTGATGCCACCAGTTTTATTTATTTGTTTTAAAACAGACACACACATATAAAATATTTATTTTTATTTTTTATTATTACAACATTACTAGATCTACCTATAACACCTGAACCAATAGACGAACAACAGGAACAACCGCCAACAACACAAACAGATCCACCACCTCCACCTGGAACAGATTCAAATATCCTTAAGATACCTGAAATAAACGACGCAATAGACCGACAACTTAAACAATTTCACATTAGAAAAACCCCCGGAAACACATATAGAGTAGATGACCGGTCAAAAGGAAAAACGATTATAAAAGACGTCTGGATCCCGATTACCGACACGAAATATCATGAAAATATCATGAAGGAAAAACAGTACACAGAGGAATACAGGAAACTTACAAATATATACACAGAAATTACCACTGGCCTAAAATGTTAACATCTATACAGAAGTTCATTAATAAATGCGACAAGTGCCTGAAAAGTAAATATGAACGCAACCCTCTTAAACTACCCTTATCTCTCACAAACACTCCACATAAACCAATGGAACATATGTTTATGGACCTTTACAGTAGCGGAGGAATTACATTCCTAACTATAATCGAAAATTTCACAAAATACGCGCAGGCAACACCCCTTACAGCAGCAACAAGTATTCATATAGCAGAGGCATTATTGAGCATATTTTCAGTTATAGGAAATTAACTACGGATTCCGATTCAAAATTCGACAACGAAGTAATAACAGACATATGTGCAATGCACAATATTCAGATACACTTCACCACCCCATATAATCCTAACTCCAATTCACCAATCGAGAGATTACATTCAACACTGGCAGAAATTATAAGAATTCAAAGAATCACGGACAAAAATTAACCAGCAAACTTAATGAAATACGCAATTATTGCATATAATAACACAATACATTCAGCAACCAGATTCACCCCCTTCGAACTATTACACGGCCACACTGATAGCAGAAACCCATTAGAGCTGCATTGCCCTAAGGAATTTTATCAAGAGTACGTATTAAAACAAACAAATATTGGAAAATACACAGAAATTAATAAATGCAAAACTAACAAATGAAAAACAACAATCAATAGAAAGATCTAACATAAGTACAGAGTCAGCACCTTTTAAAGTCGGCGATATCGTATATAAACAAGTAGCAAAAACAGCCAGAGCTAACAAACTTGAACCTAAATATCTAGGACCATACATAATAGTAAGTATACATCCAGAACAAATAGCAGAAATAGTAGGAAAACATGTAAACGCGAAAACTATAAGAGGTCACTTCCGTTTACTAAGGCGACCTGAAAATGTTTCAGGAACGCAATCAACATCATCGGACTCATCCAACTCGCCACAAGCACAGCGGTCATACAGCCAATAGACAATCATAATGGAGTATTAGTCTTATCGGAAGCAAAAGTACAGTATCAAATCGATACCATATCACCTGCATACATCATATGCATATATAACACAACTAGCTTAAGAGATATTTACATTGAAATATGTAGCAACTATTTCACATTTAAGTTAAAAAATAATAGCTCAGTAAGTACTATTAGGAAATATTAGCTATTAGGAATCAAATAGAATACCTCATAGATACTATAGAAACTAGATTACAATACGTAGGTTTACAAATCATAGGATTTAAATCAAGGTATAGACAACAACGAGGAGTAATCGACGGTTTAGGATCAATAGTAAAGCTATCACGGGAAACTTAGACCAAAACTATGCAATTAAATACGATCACGAATTAAAATCAATACAGTCAGCATTAAATAACAATAAATCAAATCAGTAACGCACAATCAGCCTAATGCAAGATTTTATGAAAGAATATGAAAACAACTTAAAACACATAAAAACTAATCAGGAATCAATTGCAATAGCTATTAATAGATACTCTAAACAAAAAACGGACATAGAAACGAATTACTTGACAGAAAGCATCTTTAATGAAATAGAGATATCGTGTCAACAGCTATACGATAGATTGGAAACCCTGGAAAACGCGCCAACGTTTTCTCACCTTAGTAAAATGCATCCCAGTATAGTAGACCCTATATTCTTAATAGAAGAATTAAACATTATCCAAAACGAAATAAATGGAAAACTACCCTTCGACCCTAATTTAAACTCTATTCACTTTTGGGAAAAAGCAATTATAGTTAAAGCCTTCAGCACTAATGGGACTTTAACCTTTATACTAGTCATTCCAATAGTTGCAGAACAATCATATAATTTACTCCACCTTTATTCGATTCCTAACAATAATGACACCATTCTTATACCAAAAAACCCTATCCTAATCTTGGGAAATGATGAGTTTGCATATCCTCACGAGCCATGCACCGATATAGCGAAAGACAACGTTATATGCAAGCACCTGGAATGGCAGACAATACTACATTCGACCGATTGCATCGCACAACTAATACAGCATCAGGAACCACATAACTGCACGTATACAACTGCAAGTTACGACAACAACATAGTGCAACAAATTAAAGAAAACAGTTGGATTGTAATAATGAAACAGGAAGAAGTCGTAAAAACTATATGCAACAACGATGTGCAATACCAACGCAACAAAGGAGTCTTCCTAATTACCATAGATAATAATTGCAAGGTGCAAATCCGAGACAGAGTATTAATGACCCACAAACGGTACATTCATCAAAGGGAAACCATACCATTACCTAGGTCCAACCATAATAGAAAAATTTCACCAACAAAAATTGAATTGGAAAACGTAAACCTGGACACTCTAAAAGACGTCCTGAAACAAGCAAAGGAGATTCAAGTACCAGATGAAGACCTAAACCTCATTTCAACCACACCCAGTTGGCCATCAGTACTTCTCTACATCATCATCCTAGCAGCAGCTGGAACAGCGGCATACAAATTCTGGTGGAAACCAAGGTCGGCGCAAACCTCAGCACAGCAGCCTGAACCTGAAGAAATCCAGCTCCAGCAGCAGCCTTCGGCACGCCTCCATCTTAAGGGGGGAGGAGTTATGTCCTTGTAACCAATACCAACCCATTATGGCCTTATTGTTAAGTAGGACATTAAGATAAGTGTCATATCACTTCCTGGTAATGTCACACAGGAAACATTATTCAAATTCAAATTCAAATTATATATTTGCTATAAATGGGGTGGTACATGTTGTGGTATTAAAGGTTCAATATATTGCGAACAGGCCCATTTAGCCATAAAGATAGCATGCAAATTTAACATTATTATTATTATTATTAATTTAACATTATTATATATTATTATTATTATTATCATCATTATTCATCAGTGTTTGTGTATTGATTATAATTTCACTTTTATTAATTATACCTACTACTCTCCACCATTCAGAAAGTCTTTGACCGAATAAAATGTATTTGTAATTAACCAATCTTTCAGGGCTGGAATGAACTTATTTAATGGTAGTTCTTTAAATCGTTCTGGGATTTTATTAAAGATTTTAATGCACATCGCGTAACAATTTTTTTGAATTCTTTTCGACCTAGGTACCATGTCCAACACAAGTCTATTTGGATTTCTAATGTTGCTCCTTTTGGTGACATCCTTCGCTTGCTTAAATGTTCGAGGGTGCTGTCTTATGAATTTGCATACCTCGAGGATGTACAAGCACGGTAACGTGAGGATTTTTAGTTTTTTAAAATATGGCCTACAAGATACGTCCGGAGCGATATCACATATGGACCTAATGCACCGTTTTTGTGCTATAAAGGCCTTATCTATGTCTGTACCGTTACCCCATACCAACAACCCATACCTTAACACAGATTCGACATACGCAAGGTACGCTGTACATGCTGTAATTTGGCAAGATACTTTTGCCAGTTTGTACAGAGCGAAAGAGAATCCATTTATCCTGTTTGCGATTTTGTCTATATGTTCCTTCCAGTTAAGTTTATCATTGATAACTATGGCAAGAAATGTCGTATTGTTAGCCATCGAGATGCTTAGTCCATTGTAATTTACATGTATGTCATCGTCATTTAAATTATTAAAATTAATTATATGCGTTTTTAATAAATTAATTTGTAAATTATTATAATTCAGCCAATTTATAATTGATGTCAAGGTATTATTGATGTCATTTTCGTGTTGTGCAATTGTCAGATTTTTATTTGTAGTTACTATTACTGACACATCATCAGCAAATAGTATAGTGTTATGGTGAGTAACTTCTGGCAAGTCGTTAATGTAGACCAGGAAGAGTAACGGGCCCAACACACTGCCCTGGGGAACTCCAAATTTATTTAAATCATAGTTGGATCTCCTTACTTCAATACAGTCTTTGGCGGTTAATTGTGTCACATCAACACATTGATATCTATCATCTAGGTATGTCTTTAGCCAATTCAAAGCAGGTCCCCTAACACCATAATGCTCAAGTTTCATCAGAAGCTGCACATGTGAAACAAAATCAAAAGCCTTAGACATATCAAGAAACATCACCGTTGTGTACATTTTTTCATTGACACTCTGAAGGATGTCGTTGACCAAAGAGAAAGCTGCATCTCTGGTAGATCTTCCTCTTTGAAAACCGAATTGGTTCCCCACAATAACACCGTTCATTTTGAAGAAAGATGTAAGTTTCTCATGCATAACTTTTTCAAATATTTTTGAAAACACTGGCAGTACTGTAACAGGGCGATAGTTACGCAGTGTCGTTTTGTCTCCTTTTTTGTGCAGAGGTTTTATAACTGAGTACTTAAGCTTTTGAGGGAAAGTCCCTGTCTCTAATGAAAGATTCACCAGAAATGTAAGCATAGGAGTTAGTTGATAGCTGCACATTTTTACAACTTTTGTACATATAGAATCGTAACCCTCAGATGTTGTATTAGAAAGAGACATAATTATTTTATGTATGAACGACTCGTCTACCGGTGACAAAAACATTGAGTTCTTTTGTTTGTGTTTAGTACATGTATTATGAATGTCGCTATTCAATGTATTAGTTGTTGATATGAAATACTGATTGAATTCATTAGCTATTTGTAATGGATCTGTAATTTTTTCACCTTTTTTGTGTATCTCAGTAATGTGATTGCCCTTATTTGCAGAGCTCGCTTCACTCTTAATAACTGACCAGGTCGCCTTACATTTATTTTTACTATTGACAACATAATCTCTATTTGTTTTTCGTTTAGCTGTATTAATACATTTTTTTAACAGTTTGTCTTAGATAAATATGTTTATCTTTTTTAGATTTAGTGAAATAATATTTATGCCGCAATTTTCTTTTATAACTACAACTTTTACGTAGTCCTTTTGTCATCCAATTTTTTTTTTGATAACCATATTTTTACCTTAATAATCGGAAAACAAAGTTGATACAATAAGCAAAAGTAATCATAGAATATGTTAAATGCTAGATTCAGATTAGTTTCATTGTAATATTTCAAATATTGAATGCTAGGTAGATACTGACAAAACTTAGTAATATTTTCGATAGAGTAACACCTTTTAAAATTAAATACAAACTCGGGTCTTTTATTTTTATACATTACAGGCCATGTGAGTATTTGTGCAGTGTTGTGATCAGATAACCATAAGGGTAGAAGTGACCCTTCTGCAATCCTAATGTTGCTAATAATTAAGTCAATGCACGATTTGCCTCTGGTGGGGTCAGAGATGTGAGATATTAAATTGTATTTTTTTAAAATGTCCATAAATTGTTTGGTAATGTCTTTCTGCAGGTCAAGAGTATTTATATTCAGATCCCCGGTTATTATAATACTACTTTTAACATAAATAGACAGGTATTTAAATAGCATAAGATTCAAGTTTTGCAAAAAATTAGTTATTATAAGCATTATAAATTAGTTTTGTATAAGCAATCCTTTGTTTTAAGAATTGTATTTAAGATAAGCTTTTGAGTCAATAGATAGTTCTGTATTGCTCTTCAAGCGGAGCACACGTCTCTAGTGTGTTTTTAAAAAGCCTTTCGCCTTCGCCTACAACCTAACTAGAGCTAAGAAATTAAAACTGAAAGAAAGAAATGAAACTTCAAGTGTTAATGTGATTCAACGTCCCATTCGTGCTGTTGAGAAAAAGCAACGAATAATCAAAAATGCTAGTGAACGAAAGGCAATCCCTTGTAGTGAGTCAGACTCTCTTGAAAATTCGTCAAATGTATGTCTGGAATGTTTTGAAAATTATGAGGAAACAAAATCAACGGCAGACTAGATCCAGTGCGTCATGTGTAAAAATTGGCTGCATGAAACTTGTACTATGTACGGTGATTACTGTAATCCTTGTCAGCGATTAAAATTACGCCATGAAAAATATATAAAATAGTTTAAAATTTAAATTAGATCAATCGTCTAAAACGTATCAGAAGTTGACATTTTTAATATTCATACTAATGTTTTGTATTATTAGATACTAAAATTGATCTCAGTTTTCAATTAAACCAAAGATGATTGTGTTTATAAATGAAAATGTAACAGTAATTGTTGATTAAAATAAATAAATCCAAATTAATCTTTTATTATATGCATAGGGCATCTATCCCACAAGCCAAATCATCATTATGGCATCTAACCCACACTTTAGGCATCTATCCTCGATTATAAAACTTTCTTTTTTTTTTTGTACCAAAAAAAATACAACTACTATAGTTAAATTACTTTAATTATTTATTTCATTAATAAGTACACAACACATCACAATCATGTAATTGTTAAGAAAACTCATATTCTATAATTTATTTGGCTATTTCAAAAAATGCGGCAACTATCCCACATTTACCCTATAAGAATACTTAATTTAATTAAATACGTACTAATAAATCGATCGATGTTTTACTTACTTACAAAAAATGTCGAATATTTTCATATAGTAGGTATGCAGTAGTAGGTAAGTTTGTACCTACGTAGTTGTTAGTTAACCAAGCTCGTAAATAGAAATATCATTATTATAGCGAAATATCGACATTGAAAAATTTACCTACAACAACTCTTATTTGTTAGAGGTATTTATTGTTCGATTCAATGTGCCGGGCGCTGGGGGCACGCCAACTGATAAAAAGTCGGGCGGTTAAAAGGTTATAGTACGGCCGCTGAGTTATTACCGATTTGACAGATTATTCTTAAATTAATCGATATAACCTTGCACGAGCGACACATTTGCCGAATGATTTAGAATACCTCTTTAATATAAAACTTTATGTCAAAATGTCAGAATCAAGTAATTTTCCAATAAACTCTGTTTCAAAACTTAAAATAGTTTGTAAATAATATGAAAACATTTATTTTTTGTTCTTTGGCGCGCTTGCACAAAGTTACATCGTGCGTCTAGTTTTCATAGTGATGTGCTTGATAGTATTCGGTCCGAATTCATTGGAATAGTTATGATATTTATTTTATTTGGATATTTTTAGTTTACTTATTCCTTCGAGCAACTAGACTAAATATAATGCTACCATTTTTTTGCGTCTCCTAATTGCACTGTGTTGCCAGTATCTTATGATTTTTAAGATTTATGTGTGATCCAAAGACAGAAGTACTGTTTTCTATAATTTAAAAATAAATACTATTAAAATGATTATGTATAATTTTTAACATTTATAATATATAAAACAACATTTAATAAATATAATTTTCTCCCTCAATTAAGCAATGTTATAGGTGTATTTTTTTAAGTAATTGGCGATACTATTCTGGCAACACCCTTACCACCGCTATTTTAATCTGTTTAGTCGTCTTCCGTACTCTCGTGCGCACAGACTACGTTCTCTTGTGTAACCGTTGTTTTTTGACTCGGCTTTCTCCTGTTTATCGTTGCGCTTTATTGGACTAATTTTGTTTGTGTTTGGTAATTTTGTTGAAAATGCCGAAACGAGGAAAAACATTGAATAGTCAATGTCGTGAGCTTGTACTAAAGCTACAGGATTACTTTGAGCGTGAGTCACAAAATGGCGGCCCTTTGATTCCTGTCACTCAAGTGAAAGATCGGGTTTCACAAGCTCTTGGAATTGGTGCAAAAACACTATATAAT